TGCCCATCAGGCCCGTATGGGAGAGATGAGATTTCACTTTAACAAGGTCATTCTGAACGACATTACTTAAACCACAAACAAGTTTGAAATCATTATACCACCGGATGGTTCAAATCTATCTCATTTATATAATTCAGGGTTCAATTGTTACAGATTCTTGTTACGAATTAAAAGATGAAAAACACAGATTATCATATATATTTCTTATTATTATTCAAATAGCAATAATTGGCTTAGTGGAAGGAGTATGACGAGGCAACTCAGGTTCAAGTGGCAATACTGTTCCTGACAATTTATGTGAGCCTGCACAGAATTCTTGACTATGTAGGGCCTCCTTGGCTTTCAGGCCCTTCCATTTCTGACAGTCTATAACATTAAAATACTGTATCAACTGGAAATATTTCATGTTCCTAAATTCGGAATTCACACTCTCAGTACTTTCCTGATGATCTCAGGAGCTAAACTCTATGACTCTTCGCTCCTCCAGGCTAAAAGCACCTGCCACAAGAACATAATCACAAAGAGATAATCACCAAGGAGTCTCTTATTCTAGTGCCTGTCTTCTCCTAACCTGATAGGAAGGAGGCTGACAGCAAGTTGGCCTGCATCTGTTTTCTAGCCATCAATTAACCATATTTAACATACTCTCATATAAATGCTTTACAGGTATGTTTCATGTAATCCACAAGATTTATTCAGGAGACTTTGCTCTCAGGCTTTATGTTAAAAAAAACAGAAAAGTCTTCCCTCAAGCAAGTTTTTCTAAAACTTGATTGTTAGAGTGGAAGTCTCCAGCACACATTTCTATTAGGATCTTCTTTTTATATAGCAGTTCTTTCTGTAGCAGTGACAACAGAAAGGAGAGATTCTACATTAAATGGGAGAATGGAGAGTTATTCAATTTGTTCTCCCTTCTTTCCTAATATTAAGTGGGTCTAATAAAAATATCCTAGTATTAGAAGATTTAGGAGAACATTAAAATGGATTTGTAAAGTTTTTACCTCTTGTTATCTGCTTGAGTTTCCTTCAGCCCACTTGCTCCTTAATGTAAACTCTGACCTTCATGTGCACAGATTTGCCTGCTTTCAAAGTTTTATTTTGGAGGATGTGGGAGTCAGGATTTACTCTTGGATCTAAGGAACCATGGTGAGTCTTTCTTTAGACTCTATTGTTGTTTGACTGCTTTAAATCTTAGTGTTGTGGCATCTGACCCACAATTCACTGAATTACAGGTGAAAAGAGGGGGTTAGAGTATGATGAACACCAAGAGGACTTCCGGTAACTGAATGCATTTATGTCCTGTTGGTCATAGATGACGCCAGGCAAAGGGAACAGCAACACCCCACATCACCGTTACTGACCTCCTTAGCTAGCCACCAATCTCACTCACTAGTGCTATATTCACTCTGGCAGCCAACACAGGAGGCCAGAACCATTGTGATTCGGCACAAGTAATGGGATATAATGCTCACTTTATAATAGAGTTAAAATGTAACAAAATAGAGTCAGATTTCTGTGGGCGTATGAGCAGAAGATGAAAACCAGTCAGTAGCAAACCAAGGGTACAGTGACGATTTAGTCAAATAGAGAAAGAGGAGCCAATTCGTATACAAGGTCAGCACATTGTTCCAATGGTGTCAGTTACCATCAAACAAAGAGGCACATGTCAGGAAGTGTTCATCAGAAGTAAAGAAAAAAGAGAGAATTGGCAGTTGTGCCAAATAGCAAGCCTATGCACCTCTTGGGCAAATAATGGGAAGTATGAGCAAAGGATTAAAATTTGAATTTAAAGCACATTTTCTTCCCTGGGAAAGAGAATGTGATGGTGGTACATGAAGTCAGTTCAAAAGAAGCCTGTGATGTTTTCCTGCTCATAAAAAAATAAAGCAAATTATCCTGTCGAAGGGCAATGGAATCAAATTTGAACTTCCTGAAAACGTATCAGTTGATAAACCAGGATTTAGGTTCAAGGATACATTCCATGCCTAATCTTCATTTTACAACTTGTGGAGATAAATTTTCCTCCACACTGAAATCTTCCAGAGATAGCCTTTCTTGAAAAACAAATTGTTAGACGTGTGCAGCAAATTGGCCAGATGTCCCTGGGGCCTCAGCACTCTCTCAGAAGAAAGGTAAGAGCTTCTAATACCTACTTCATGCCTTCAAACCACTGGTTTTCTACCTATAGCTTTGGAACAGTAATGTGCAAAGTATTTTTCTTGTTATTGAAAGAGTTAATACAGTTTCTCCGAAGTGCTTCTCTTCTCCCAAAATATAGTTTATATTTTGGGAGAATTTGGCACAGCTTTAGTTACTGCTTCCCTGATTTTCTTAGTAGAATCCAACAATAAGTCATTTCCCTCTCCCATTTGTCCCTTAGTGTTTATTAGCAGGAATAGGCACAAAATGTCAGAAGAAAAAAAGTATTATTCATATTAATCTACTTTCTTTAAGATTTCTCAAGATACCTAAATAATAGCCTTCTCACATCTTGCTCCCAAACTGGCAGCCATCCCTTGGGGTGTTTTTACAAACATCCCAAAGTTCATTTTCAGCTCATGTACCCTTCCCATCCCAAATGTATCACTGCAGGATAAGTGTACTTCATTCTTGCTTATCTTAAAAAAAAAAAAAAATTAGTAATAATTGCTAGGTACAAAAATTGGTGTGTGGCATGAAGCTAGCTTTGCCCACTTCTAGAAATTGTTATTTTTAAGTTGTAGGCCTTGAAGAAAAGGACAGCAGAAATCTCTTCAGTGGTACACATTGCTCTGATTGCTACTATCCCCCAAGCACCTGACAAGCCTTCGGACTAAGGTGTAGCAGAAAACCATACCCTCTCCCTTTCCCCAAAGAAGAGTGGCTCCAAGACACAAAATCTTTACAGCTTAATGGCCTGATGCATGGTAAAGCCATCTTTCTAATTCTTAATCATTATCCCATTCCAGACCCAAGTATATAAATTATCTATGGTCATTTTGCAGATAACTCAATAGCTACAAAGACACACATACATTTCACTAAGTATTGACCAATGTCCATTTCACATACTTCTTCCAGTCTAAATTTAACTTTAACTTTCATCTTCTACCAAGACTGAGACAAGGGAGGGAAAGTCAAAGAAAACTAGTTTGGGAATCAGTAGGGGAAAGTTTAACAGGCCTGCTGGGTGTTCTCTCAATGCTGTCTCGGATCTCAGATTAAATTATTATGCTTTCTGGGTTCTAGCACTGGGTCATTTGTGCATGAGGACAAAGGCAACTTCAACTTGATATTTCTGTCATCCCTGCTGTGGGAAGAGTCTTTTTCCTGGTTTATAACATCAATCACTCTCGCAATAAATCTTTGTGGTGGATATGGTCATTTAAATCTCCACCTGCACAAACAACAGAAAATAAGAGAGCTCATAAATCTCTATGCTGGTGATTAACAAATTTTGAATCCTGGGCAAAGATAGTATGGTGGTGAGGGGGGGTTTCACTAATTCATTAATAAAGACTGATTTGCTGACAATCTGTTTAGTTTACAGCATAGGGGGAAAGCAAACAAGACCCTGCTAACAAAACAAAACGTTAGAGGTTAGTGAATTCCCAGCTGAGCCTCGGATTAGAGATATGATATCTTAATGTAAGAGAGGGGTGCAGATTCCCAGACCAAAGCTCAGATGCCACCCTTACACTTTGCTTTAGCCCCTCTTCTTCAGTGCCTAATTGCAAGGGAAGAAAACCTGGCAAAGAACTAGTAAGAGAGATTCATGCGTTCAGTCTCTCCAATTTCATCTCATCGGTTTCATGCCATCCCTTCGTTTCTGGCTCCCTTTGCTTTTCTACTTACTGTCCAGATTGTCTTATTCCCTAAGAAAGATGGTCCAGGCTGTGGTCAGGAATGGAAAAGAATCTTTCCCAAAGGGGTTATATTGTTTAATGTTTTGGAATGTCAGCTTCCTGGTAGGCATAGAGGACGTAAGGAGAAGGCAAAGGGGTAACACTGGGAGAGAGAAAACAAGAAACCCCAGGCCAGGTGATGTCTGAGAGCAACTAGCATTCTTAAGACAACATTAAATGTATTTGTAGAAAGGAACTTTGAAAAAAGTTTTAATTTTCCACACGCTCATGTTACTCTACCTCATTTCCCCCACTCCCACTAGGTGTGTGGTTGTGCATGGGTATGCAATGGTCGTGTGTTTGTGTACACACAGGCAGTTTCTTCATATTGCCAAAGTGACCAGCTGCAGGTGAATTTCTTGGTACTTTCTCTGCCAGCACCCTAAAGATTCTATGAAGCACTTGTTTTCTTGATTTTCCCCAGTTAAGACTGGAAGGTATGTTGGTAAGACTGATGTTATAAACCAGGGTGCTGGCAAGAGGTAGTTGACCTCTGATTTTTTTTTGCTTGTTTGTCTGAGGGGGAGGGAGAGAGACAGAAGGAAACAGAAACATTGATTTGTTGTCCCACTTATTTATGCAGTCATTGGTTGATTTTTGTATGTGCCCTGACAAGAGATCAAACCCTTAACTTTGGTGTTTCTGGATAATGCTCTAAACCAACTGAGCTACCCAGTCAGGGCTTCTGCCTGGATTTTGATTGGTGTTTTCTTGGGGGAAGGAGGCAAGAGGGATGCTTTGTAGGTGGAAGGCCCAGAAAGAACAAAAGATCTGGTCGTTTGTGTAAAGTTCGCTGCATACAACCATCCATGACCTCTTAAGAGGGAAGCAGGCCTTAGGAGGTGGGCTCTGGGCGCTGGAGAGGGGCTGTAGGTGGGTCCTGCTCCTCCCTGGCCCAGCCCGGAGAGGAAGAAGGTGACCGGTATTTAAGCATCGCAGTCGAGTTGATTTACATTGCAAGTTGGAAATCAGGGCCCGCGAGGGAGAGTTTCCCTCCGGTTGTGAAAGGGGTCTAAGAGCGTTGCTGGGGCCTGGCAGGCCCCTCCCCTGGGCCGCGAGGATCCGCCTCTCTATTCCCCAGATAAATTCCTAGTGTCCACCAAATTCCTCAGCGCTCTCTCACACTCCTCTACGGCCACGACTCCGGGGGTGGGGAAAGAGAGCGCCGGCTTCCTTCCCCAAGAAGCCCTGGAGGTTCCTTCTGACAACTCTGCGAAGGGGAAAGGGGTGTGAGACCCAAGCAGACCCCCAACTCCAACCCCGCACACGAGGTGGCTGCTCCACACTGCACACTAGGGGGGCCCATTGGTTTCCGGGTCTCTTTCTCCTCTCTCCCTTCCCTCTGTCCCTTTCATCCTCTCCCGCGAACATGTCCACCGGCTCCCTCAGCGACGTGGAGGACCTCCAAGAAGTGGAGATGCTGGACTGCGACGGGCTGAAAATGGACTCGAACAAGGAGTTTGTGACTTCCAACGAGAGCACCGAGGAGAGCTCCAACTGCGAGACTGGGTCTCCCCAAAAGGGCCGCGGCGGCCTGGGCAAGAGGAGAAAGGCGCCCACCAAGAAGAGCCCCTTGAGCGGGGTCAGCCAGGAGGGGAAACAGGTCCAGCGCAACGCCGCCAACGCGCGCGAGCGGGCCCGGATGCGGGTGCTGAGCAAGGCCTTCTCCAGGCTCAAGACCACCCTGCCCTGGGTGCCCCCGGACACCAAGCTCTCCAAGCTGGACACGCTCAGGCTGGCGTCCAGCTACATCGCCCACCTGAGGCAGATCCTGGCTAACGACAAATACGAGAACGGTTACATCCACCCGGTCAACCTGGTAAGTTCTCCGGGGCGGCTGCGACGAGGCGGGTGCCCCCGCCCAGCGCGGTGAGTGCGTGTGCGCGCCCGGCTGGGACTTCCGCACCTCTGCCACCACCAGCCCAGCGCCTCTAGGGACCGTTGCAGGAGATTCCCGCACGGCCCTGCTCTCTGCCCTACGAGCCGCCAGAGCAGGGATGATTTATGAGATTGTTTGACGTGGCAGCCCACTTAGGAGTTTGCAAGTGTGTTGAGCTGGCAAAGAGGAGGATCCCTTGTACCCGAGCCATGAGGGCTGGAGTGGAGGGACTGGTGCGGGAAGGGGACGAGACGCAGAAGGCCAAGACGGCATTTTATTAATCCTTTTCTTCTTCTTTTAGCTGAAGAGTGGAACTCGATTCTTCCCTCTAATTCTTGTAAATAAAACCACCCAACTTTCGTTTCTTTCCCAAGCATGTATAGGACCGTTAGCCATGGAAACATCATGTCTTCTCTCATTGTCATACAAGTCCCCAACTACTTCAATATTCTGTGTTTCTCCTACAGGTGGATTAACATTTTTAAATCCCAGAAGTTCTAGCAAGTATCAGCATAATCAGTACATTTTCACGAGTATTGGTGTAATAAGTAACATCAAAAAAGGTCACTTTCATTCAAGATTTAAGAACATTTTCTTTTGTACCTTAAAAACTAATGCTCAACAAGCCTAATATTTTCCTTAAATGCATTTTGCTGTTTAAGAAATGTATTTGATTCCTTTTCATTTGATTTAACTTTAAAACTTACAGGCTCTAAAGAAAAACAACAACTTACTAGCGTCTCTGTTTATATATGATAAGAACAAGAGGTTTTCCTCTCAAAAGTCATCTTATCTGCCAGCACTCCTGAGAGAGGGTTGAAGATCTGAATTGTCTTCGCACTAAGTTAGTTTCAGGAATTGGGGCCAGGAGGTACAACACCACATTTTGCCTCGAAAAATATTTTCCCCCTCCAATTAAAAGTGTATTTTTGAATGAGAAAGTAAATAGCTTTTTTAAATCTGGAAGTCAAATAAAAGAACTGCCTCCATTTACAATTTGCTGCTGCCTTCATCTTTGACTGAGACACTTAAGTGGGCTTTCTTATACAACATCATGGAGAGGGGAAGAGGAGGTTATGCTTGCTCAGCCCACTGGGAAGCCGACCTTAAAATAAATGTGCGTGTATATTCTTTCATTGGTATTCTTTTTTTCCTTAAGAGGCAGCAATTAATTTAGAAGCAGGATTTGTCAAAGCCCGCATTTGTGATGGAAGAAACGAAGTCGGCAGGGGGAGAGAGATGGAGGTAAAAGCTGGGGGTCCAGAGAACCTGACAGCGGCCTCGCTCCAACCCGGTGCCGAGGCGGCGAGAGGTGCTTCTAAGGCTCCCTGCTCAGTCTCCCGTTGGCGTCTGTCTCCGGGCTGTGTCCCGGCAAGAGCCACTTTGGGCTTTCCGAAGGGTCTCCGCCTTTGGGTTTCCCTTCGAACCCTAGAAGTGATCTCCTCTATGCTCCACCACCCGGCGCTGTGCCTTGGCGCCAATGCTACTTTTTGCTTCTTTATCCAGCCACGAGGCTCCCCGGGACTCCGAGTAAATTGCAGTGATAACCGGTCCGTCCGATTCACCGCCTGCCCCCACGGCGCCCTGGCTTTTCCCCCTAGCTCTGGGAGCCCACCCCCACCCCCAAAGCCACTTACCTCCTCCACTCTTTTCTCTCCTGCAGACGTGGCCCTTTATGGTGGCCGGGAAACCAGAGAGTGACCTGAAAGAAGTGGTGAGCGCGAGCCGCTTATGTGGAACCACGGCGTCCTGACCTTGGAGGTGCGAGTCTGGGAAAGGCGTGCTCCCCGGGAACACGGGCCCGGGAAGGCGGCCCCTGCCCTCCCTGCTCCCTGTCTCTGCTTCCCCCCGCAAAGCTCCTCTCTCTGTCCCACCCTGCGAGAACACTTTACAGCGACGAGGAGATTCGTTTCCAAACCAGAGGAGATCAATTGTACTTACAAAGATTCCCATCTATTTAACTTTATTAATTCGTACCGTGAATGACTCTGCGAGCCTTGCTGGTCCAAGTGCAATATGTAATTATAAATATATGAATAGATAAGAAGAGCCTATCAATGTGTATCTTTTGTACAGTATGTTGTAAAGTGTAGATCATAGCCTAGCTGACTTTGACAGTCACATTTATAAAGTAATTCACTTAAAGATATATATTTTTTTCAAACAAGTTTTGCTACTTCCAAAAATAAATCTTTCTTTATATTACTAAAAGCCCTGATATTGGTGTGATTTAAAAAAAAATGATTTGGAATAGAAAAGCAGAGAACTGTGGGGAAATTTGATAATAAAAATGGTTCTTTTGAACCTCAATCCAAACTTCTAGAGATAGAAGAGGATTAACTATGATTTGCACTATGAAGGTACACACAATGTTGTCCACTGAAATGGGAAAAAGAAACAAACCAACCTCTGATCTCTCAGGTTTCCAGGTTACTTTTAATACAATTAGAAATAATGTAACTGTAAACAAAGAAAGGGCAGGATTAAAGTTATTCATAGTTACGCAGTTCAAGAGATAAGCACCCCAGAAAAGGCAGATTTGATTTTCATGTCTCCCACAGTATAACTGCTAACATGAGCAGGAGGGTAAACCGTGTTTTATAACTTTCCAAAGGAGGGCACGTAGACAGTTACAAACCAGGGAAGAAATAATGGGAGTTCTGAAAAATGTAAATTCCGTAATCCTTACGAGGTATTTTCCGATTTTCAAAGTGCTGCATCAAACATTATGTATTTCTTATTAATAATTAATTCATTTTAACAACAGCGCCTGCCTGCCTTTCGGTTAAGGTTAACCAGTGCACACAGCTCCCCGCCACGACTTCCGGCGGACTGGGTTTTAATTTAAACATCTTCCAGGCTACGGAACAGCTCGTTGGGGAAGATTAAGTTGAGATAAACAGAGAGGCGAGGCCGAGGAGCCTGGGACCTGGTTCCCTTACTGCCCCAGCGCAGCCCGCGGCGGCCGATGAGCCAGATGCCACCGGGGCTGTTTAATGTTCGGGGTTATGACCGCAGTGTTTACAAGACGTCTTCGGTTATTTATACTGTTATTCCTCGCAGAAGGCCTTGAAACTTCCGCTTTGTTTGCTCTTTCTTTTCGATTTTTTTTTTTTTCCTTTTTCTCGGTTCTGTGTGGTACCTAGAGTAAAGCTCCTCTGCTTCCCTTCCTGCACTTACCTTCTGCTAACCCCAAAGGTGGCTTAGGGGTGGAGTTCTCAGCTTGGCCCTCAAAGAAGGAGCTTGTTAAGAAGAGGAAGCCATTACGCCCAGGGATGTTCTCTGCCAGTGCTCAGTTATCACCTTACCAAGTGCAATTCATTCCCCAAGGGCTGGGAACTTGGTGATTCCTCATCCACTTGTCTGTCAAAGGCATGTCGGAGGACTTCTCCGGGCGTCATTCTATCCTACCACTCACCTACCCCACACTTGACCTTCATGAGCATTGCAGGCTCTGGCCACTTCCTTATTCCCCAAATTCCTGTGTTCCTTCCATCCCTCCGACCAGAAGACACTGACCTCTCCTCCACCCACCCAGAGTTCAAATCACAGATGAGCCCAGCGTGATTCAGTTTTTTTCATGTTTCAGTTCGGCGTATTTTCTAAGTTTCCACTCACGGTTTTCTTACAAACCAAAAGCTCAAAAGTTCTGAGCACCCAATGCAGACGGCCACATAGAGAAAAAACTTCAGGCCCATTATCTGGTGACCCCAAACTGCAAACAGGTTTTTTAAAAAGTTCCCGTGCTTCCTACCTATAATTAGAAAACTTTGCTTTAAGATTGAGTCATGAGGTTATAAACATGAAACATGTGGCTTAAACCCTAGTTCTGTGTCCAGCTTTTTCTAAGGGCAACTGGATCCTCAGTTTTCTCCTCTCTGCGAATGGGGATTTAGGTCATAATGATGATGATGATGATGATGATGATAATGATGATGATGATGCTTTTCCTCCGTTGCCTCACAAAGTGTTATCAGAGCTCAAATGAGATGACATTTGTGCAATTGATTTCTAAAGGAAGGGATCCATGCAAATATCAGTTAACTTTTATTAGGTGTGATGGGTGGGGAGTTGTCTATGTTAGACCTGACCTGAAAGTGCCTCAGGCATGGAGCTCAGAAGTGTGTATGTTTACAATGTACAAGCAATCATGGTCATCGTTTTATTGCATGAATCAAAACACCTCCCTTGGATGCTATGTTTAACCTCAACAATTTCTCTCTCTCCCACCACCCCCTTCCCCTTCCCCAATGTTCTCTGAATTTATCCAGAGCTCATTACAAATGTTACTGTTTCCTAGAAAATCTTGAACCCAGAAAAATTCAGAAAGCAAAGATGATGTGTGAGACCACAAACAGAAGGGCTACCTGGGTGTCTGACTGCTGGGAAGCCTCCCCACAGGGACTCAGCCCTGGGACCAGGGTGCATCTGAGACCACACAATTGTCCACTGAAAGGACCAAGTGACACGGTGGGAACTACTGTGCTGTGGCCGCCACTAGCCTACCCCACACTGCTCCACAGGGGCACCTGGTCTAAACAGCTGTCATTCCCCGTGAGCCCCTCTCTTAAACCAGATCTGCACCCCCCTCACGAGCCACACCCTTCTTCTCCTCCCTGTTGCTGTTTTCCTGGAGTCTGTCTCAGCAGAGCTCCACCCCCAGCCTACCTCCCACCCTCCCAGGTACTTGGTGTGTCTTCATTTCAATAGAAGGCTAGGCTGTCTGGGAAGGAAAGGAGGGCCTACCCGCTTTGCCACAAGCCAAGACAGGGGTGCGGGGTGGGAAGCATTCTGTCTGTGACCTCTTGGTTATGAAACCTATCTTAGAAGGTGCTGTTCAGAAAGGACCAGAACATCTGAAACAGGCCGTAGAAGCCTGGAAGGAGAATGAAGTGTTTCAAACTAGCATGTGTCTGGGAGTTCTCAGGAGAAGTGGACAGATATTGAAAATAGACTGTAGCTGGGGAAGTCCCTTTCTTTCTCTCTCTCTCTCTCCCCCCCCCCCCCATTGCTTATATCACTCTTTACAAGTAACTCCTTTGCCTAGGAGGTTTTCCCACTGTCAAATCGCAGACTTTTTTCTAAAAAGAAATGTGGTAAACAAAGCCCAATACCGGCTGGCTGTATTCAGTGACCAGTGAGAGGCACTGCCAGGGCAGACTTATAAGCCAGTGGTTTTTGGGTGTCTATCAGAATCACCTGGACAGCCGGTGGCAGTCAATTGATGGGCTCCATCCACCCCAGTCCCAGATTCAAGAGCTCTGGGGCGGGGCCCTCGAATGTGTATTTCTAACAAGTTCCTAAGAAATGCTGCTGATCCCTGAACCACACACTTTGAGAGTTACTGTTTTGGGATTTGTCTCACTAGAGAAACAAAAGAAGTTAAGGCAGACTGAAAGAAAATATTTGGATTTTTTTTAAGAGGCTGTATGTTCTGGAGTCCAGTTTCATTTCCTTTTCTATTCATTTCACAGTGGCACAATGTATTCTTAATGTTTAAATGATAGTCGGGCAATCAAACCACTCATCCTCCCAAAATGAAAGGTGTGTGCTACGCTGGTGTATGGGCATGGGTGCGCTCACATTGAGCCCTCAAAGACAGAGTTCAGTCATCAGCTGACGGATTGAAGACTTGACTGGATTTGGGCCCAGACGCTGTTGCCTCCGTTTTGACCCCCAGAGAGAGAGAAATCAGGGCACCTGGGACTCGATCCTCTTGCGATCCCTCGATTCCTCATTGTGCAGAGGGTCCCTGGGCCCAAGCCAGCAAAGATTTCCCCGTCGCTCCAGTGGGAAAAGGTGTTTTTTGTTTGTTTGTCTGTTTTCCTAGTTTGGGGTCTCACACGCCCAGCCCATTGCAAATCGGTTAGCGGTCGCGTGCAGAGGTGCGGGAACGAGGGCCAGCGTGGAGTAAGTTCGGGGTGGAGACGGCAGGGAGGGGAGGGGCCCGAGCCCAGAGGCAGAACAGGGGAGGCCTCCTCTGCGGTTTTCTGCTCACTCCTCACCCCATCCTCCCTTGTCCCCGGCCCCGGGAGAGTCCAGGGAAGTAGGCGGGAGGAAAACGAAGAAGGCTCCGAGTTCCGAGCCCCAGCACACACAGCCTCCGGAGTCGCCGTCCCTTTCCGGGTGCCTGTGCCGCTGCGGCCCCGCCCTGCGCGCTCCGACGCGGCCCAAGGAAGGTTCTGGGGTTACGACCCCACACCGCTAGGGAGGTGGTTCGCAGATCCCACGCAGCTGGCTCGTCCAACTTCCTTTCTTAGCTTTTCAACCTTCCCTCCAAATGCTAGCTTTGCCCTTAGAAACTCGGGCGGTGCCGGCGGTGTTTCTGAGAGCCCAACGGGCTTCCTCCAGGGTCTTCTTCCTCCAGGCGCCTTTGATCCTTAGATCCGGGAAGGCTCCGCTGCTGCGCGCTCCCGACGGTTCGCGGAAGGATTAAACCGCCCGACGCCTTAGGTTTGACATCCCGTCCCAGGGCACGGCGGGGAGGAGGAGGCGGTGGAGAGGGCAGAAGAAACGAGCCGTTCAGCATATTCAAAGCTGTGAGACCAGGCTCCGGGAGAGCGGCAGCACATCATTGTTGTACCGATGACCCATCGTAGTGCCTGACCCCTCGATATAAGTTAAGTCTTTAACTCAGACTATGGTGAAGAAAGTAGATGAGATAGAAGGCGGTTGGAGCTAAGAATTGGCAATAGGACTGTGGCTCTGCTGGAACTGACACTGAACCTCTCGTGTTGAAACCTAGGTGCCTATCTGAAAAAAGAATAAAGCAAGCATTCAATAAAAATAAAGTTTAAAGAAAAGAGTAAAGCAAGCAGACATGATGGGACCAGATGGCATCAACTCGAGGGGGAAGTTTGCATTGGCCTCCCTGATACTCAGGTGAAAGCTGTGCTTCGCCTTGCCAGCTGAAGATGACATAGTTAGTTCTGAGTTTATATGGCCCTTAGAGCAGAATCAATCACTTAAAACAGGTGCTTTGAAGAGAGGAAATCATTTGAAACACTACAAGAATAAAATGTTCACAGGCATTTATTTTAAAATGTA